AATATTGATGCATTGTTTGCTTTTAATATACTGTAATCTCGGCTGTAATTACTTTAAAAGCCGATCGTTGCATATAGAAAATATGAAACAAGACAGCGTATTATTTCAGTGTTTCTTTATTGATTACACTTTTTATTATACTAAGCAAAGTTATTTACATGGGAGAATTTGGAATCATTTTATTTCAAACTCAAAGTTTATCGATAAAGGCAGTTTAGTTCTATATTAATAGAACACTTTCAAACGTTTTGCGAAGCGTTTGTGGTTGAATTTTACCTTAAATTGAAGCTTATAATACGTATAATAACATACCTACTGTAATTACTTTAAAAGCCGATCGTTGTGTATAAATATGAAACAAGACAGCGTATTATTTCAGTGTTTCTTTACTGATTACACTTTCTATTATACTAAGCAAAGTTTCTTTACTGATTACACTTTCTATTATACTAAGCAAAGTTATTAATTGCATGGGAGAATTTGGAATAATTTTATTTCGAACTAAAAGTTTATCGATAAAGGCAGTTTAGTTCTGTAGTAAAAGAACATTTTAAAACGTTTTGCGAAGCATTTGTGGTTGAATTTTACCTTAAATTCAAGCTTATATTACGTATAATAACATACCTAACATATATATGTTTAGGAAATTGATAATTTTGTAATTAAAAGTGATATTTATAGGGGATTTTTCATTTGTAAAAATATTCTTAAAAAATTATCGTGTTACCATGACAACTACTTAAAATACTTCACGTTCGGAATAAAAAGGTTTTGTCTGCAAGGCGAGGGTTTCTGCATGCATGTATTTTCTAGTATGTTTTAAACAATCAGGATTTTATATCACATAGTGATTTAGAAATTATTGATATTGATCTTCTGTAAACTTTGCTTATTGAGATTTGCAATCCTTGTTGCAGAAATATTATTGTTGGTGTCATTCAAGCCCTTTCTGCCAGGATTAAATGGTGTATCACAAGAACCCATCTGGAAGAATTCACATGAGGTTGATATGTTTTACAATGAGGTATCAGTTATGGTGGAGAGTCGTTCTATGTACATGCGTTGATGAGGACTAAACCCTTACCAAATCCCAAGTCACCGTTTTTGGATTCCTACGGCAGTATATGAAGGCATTTCTTTACCGGGTCCGATGTCTTGGCTGTGAAAGAACTCAAAGTCATCTTCCATCTTAATATTGGATACCTTCCGCACATACATGTTAGGGAGGGTACATTTGCTACCATTTATGAAAAATAATTGCTTCGTTCTAAAAATGCTTTATTACAAATCAATATGATTTGAATATCTAGGCATAAAGTTTCGTACACCTACGAATGCTATGTTTGTGAGCTTGTTAATACCATCATTTTGTAGGGATGATAGTATATCATATTTCAAAGGCAAATGTAAGGCATGTTTCAGGGTTCTTAACACAGATCAATGACATTTTAAGAACCAAGGCAACATATATTCATATCCATAATTCATATCCATATTTCATTTTGGCTGGCTATTGAATGATCAATTTCCATGATGTTATATACATTTGTATTTTTGCCTTTGCTAAAACAAAAATAGCAAATTTTACATTTGGATGAACACGCAACAAATAAGTACTGTAAGTGTTAAACAATTGCCAATAACAGGTTTCCGTAACTTGTGGTACTAGATATTCATAATATTGTTTAAGGTATTCAAGAAAGTTGTAAATTAGTGCCAAGGACTACATTGTTAAAGTTGAGTTATGTTTATGTCATGCTTAAATTTATAGTTAAAAATTTATATCAGTTACACTAATCCTCTATATTAAGTTCAGGGATTTTGTACAGTTTGAATCAATTATTGTATTAGGCTGTGAGAAATGTCGTTAAATTGAAAATTGTTGATGCAAAAACTCTACAAAATATGACATGTTGTCCAGAAAGATTGATATGATTGATAATTTTACTGTTTTATTTTGTCGTATCTGTCAATATGCCACGTATTATTTGGTCCTGTACCATGATATGTCCCTCTTCTTAGGCAATGTCTTAATCTAGCCTGTACACCTTTGGGATCCAGAACTCCTGACACTCTTCTGACAGCATCTTTACGAACAACCAGGTTTTTTTTCAGGGATTTTTTAGGACCGTAAAACGGCCCCAAAAACTCAATCTTGAATTGAGTTTTGAAACTCAATCTTCTCGCCAAAGTTTCAGTGCAGTAAAAATGAGGTTGTTTGAGTTAAATTTGTGACGTGTGAAATTTAGTTTTCAGTTGGAAACCCAACAATCGGAAAAAATGGCTGGAATTCATTTCACAACACAAGAGAAACAACGCATTTGCCATCTTTATCCAGCTTATAGCGGTCTGCTTTAACACATTGTGTCTCAACTACACTTATGTCAGCCTCCCACAGCTGCCCCAGACCCCCAGCCATTAAGCTAAACTCGATCTTCTCTGCAAAAACGGACCCAAGAGAAAATCCGGGGAAAAACCCTGACAATCAAACCATAACCTGTTTGATGCATTGCATGGTATCTGATGCTATTGCCACTGCTGTTAAGTTCTCTTTCGTCAGCTTGTACATCTTCAACTGTTGAGCTATAATTATTTTATTGACTTAAGCTTCACTTTATTACAACCATTTTCAATTGTCCATAGATGCCAAGGTTGTGTTTTGTCCACGTGTAGGGGGGTCCGGAAACGGCATTTCCAGCGTTCTGAGAACATATTTGGGTGTTATTTTTGGTTCTCAAAAACAATATTTCAGAGGTACATTTTGTGTTAAGAATAAAGCACAATGTTTAACAAGTATTAGTAATAAATGCATGTGAAAACATGTGCAAATGCAATATTAGTCAAAACAAAAACTACAATTCCAAGAGTAAAATTTTAAAAGATCATTTATATATATTTAGGAATATTATATTGTAGTTAAAAGTCAATAATTGGAGTTTACATTTAAGTTTATAGTTGTATACTTATACGCATATATCTCAATATGTTTATGCGTCTTTAGATTTTACATCGGTTATAACTGCTTTATAAATAATTTAGCAGGGCTGAGTAATAGCCTCGCCTACTAAGTACGTCAAACGTAAGCCGTATAATTGATAGCTTGATGCAATAGCGATTAAAAAATGTGCTCAAGTTACATCCTGAAGTAGTGTGTTGATTGCAATGTCCGACAGTGATAACATTATTAAATACACAAGGAAACACGAGTTTTACAGTCTGATGTTTATTGATAGCTTTAATATATCAAAAGAAATTAGTTCAAACATTTTACAATCACCATTATTTCTCTACATTTTAGCTTCTCAGCTAACTTTCTGCTTATGCGTGAGATAATCAAACTGAAGCGTGTGAGCGTGAGAAATGATGCTGAGGCGTGTGTCACACGCTTAACGTGTGAGACTTGGCATCTATGATTGTCGTAAACATAGCTGAATGCCAATGCAAGGAAGCTAAGAACATCAATATTTCAGTGTACTTCATTCCCAAGTGAAAGTACTTTAGCATTAAATCATCTCGTTCGTAATTTTCCTGCGGGGTTAGGCAGATGGAAGAACACTCTGAACAACAGCAATGTGTGCAAGAAATACAACCAGCCAGATGTTGGTGTTAGTATATGAAGAACAAGACGACTTTACTGGTTTTGACTGATATAATACTTTGATACACTATTATCACTACTATCAAACATTTGTTAAATACATTTGTGTTTTCAAAAAAAAATTGTGTAACAAGAAAAAACATGTGTGTAAAATGAGTTTAACATATTTCCTGACATACAAAATTGGTATCTAAAGACAGCAAAAATTAAACTATGTCAGTATTAATTTAACCTACAATTTCTTATATTTCAGAAATATCAACAAGCAGATTTAAAATATCTTGTGTATCTAAATATTACATCTCAAGTGACTTAATAAATGCTACAATATACTGTTCAACTACTCCACAAATTGTTATATTATTTTTTTATTTACAATTTCTTAAATAGAAATTATGAAAACCTTAATAAGCATTTTACACTTTCTTCAATAGAAACGTAACCTAGAAGCATTTTACACTAAGTTCTTCAACAAAACCTATTTGAATGAATGAACCGAATTAACCACCATTCATTAAGCCCATTTTTCGCTAGGCGAATTTATTTGCGAGAACAGGAGAAGTAGGAACTGATCTAACCTCCTCCGCAGGCATCTTGTGATTCACTTACGTTAGAAAGTCGGTGAGATGCCTGCCAAAACCCGACATGGTTGAGCCGTTCTGCACATTTTGCTTTGCTTGATTTCGTCTCTAGGGTATGCATGTGGGGAGGGTTTTATCATTAGTGAAATATTGGCTCAGGTTGAAAAGATTCTGTGTTGTGAAAAAGATAAGCTATTTAATTATAAAGTCAGTGCTTTGAATATTTTTTTCAGTTTTGAAGCAGTGATAAAATTTGGGTTTCTGTTGATGCACGTTGGCTTGGCATCCAATTTGGCGCCTGATTGTTCGCCTTTGGAAATCGTTTGCGAATGCCAAGAAAGCGAAGGAACTGTCATTTACAATTTTGTAGTTGGGGACAACAATGTACCGCGGGTCAGTCTTTTAAAAATTGAAAGACTGGGAAAGGATGATTTGTGTGCTGATATGGAAATATCTAGTGATCATGAAGTTGTTCATACGTAAAACACTATAAACAATCCAACTTCAAACCAGCATGGTCTACATGACTTGAATTGTCAAGAAAATCTTATGGAGAGTACATTAAATAAATATTTCAATCATCAATCTTTCAAACCGCTTCAAAAGGAAATAATTTCGGCAACTCCTTGCTGATAAGCCTACTATTGTTGTAGTGCCAATGTTGTCATTAGGGAGGTTTAGATAATAGAACGAGTACGAGTTCAAGTTTCGAGAAGGGGACTGGGACCAACTTGAACTCGTACTCATCAGCCAAAGCTTTGTTTAGATGTCATGCAATGAAACAAGTACAAACATATATATGAGTACAAAGTACAAACAAAATGGCGGATATGGATGTACTTGATGCCTCAGTATTTTTGTACTTAGGAGACCTCATAGAAGAAGATTTATTTTATATGCTTGTAAAGGAATGCGAAGAAACAGCGCCTGTATTTCCTTATTGGAAATATGATCGATTTTCGCTTGAATCTATGCTTGAGGACGAATGTTTATCAGAATTTCGAGTTTCGAAGATGGACATTCCATGACTTGTTCGAGTTCTCCAAATTCCAGATGATATAATATGTGAAAATGGCACTTAAAGGGAAATGGCAATATATTTTTTTATTTTCTCATTTGAAAGAACTTTTGAAACTATTTAATAACTTCTTTTACCGATTCTTCATATCCCGCTTAGTTCTTGAAATATTTTCACTTGAAGAAATGAGATGTCAGCCATCTTGGATAATTTTTTATCTCATTAACGGTAGTTTTGGTGACGTCACAACAGGGATTAACGATATAAAAGTATTCGTTGCTGACCAAATATTGATTGCTAAATGATTTAAAGGTTTCAAGTGATCTTGATATTTCCAAGCGCATACAGAGTATAATTTTGAGTGCAAAATGATTATTGTATGTCTAGATAAAAATATTGCGTGACCCCTGTTGTGACGTAACATGCATATCTACAAAAATCCAAGATGGCGGACATTTCATTTCTTTCGATTAAAATATTTGTAGAAGTAAGCAAGATATGAAAAAACGGTAAAAGAATTTTCTTTTTGTTTTTAAATGTTCTTTCAAACGAGAAAATAAAAAAATATATTGCCATTTCCCTTTAAGCGTGTGCACTGGAAGGATTATGTATCCTCCTGAAACGTTTTGCATATCCTTGTCGGTACAGTGATCTCATACCAAGATTTGGCAGGTCAAAACCTGAACTTTGCCTCATTTGCAACAAGGTAATGAGATTTGTTGTTGGCTCTCATGGCTACCTCCTAACATCTTTTGACCAAGAGTGGCTGCAAGCAAACAAATTGCAAGAATATGCCAGTGCTGTTTATGAGAAAAGCCATGCATTGGGAAATTGTTGGGGCTTTGTTGACGGTACAGTAAGGGCTATCTGCAGACCAGAGAAAAATCAGAAGACAGTCTACAATGGACATAAGAGGGTCCATGCTTTGAAATACCAATCTGTTATAGCAGCAAATGGCCTCATAGCCAACCTCTTTGGGCCAATAGGTAAGTAATTTGTTAGAATTTGTATTTATATGAATGAAAATTTATTGGAAATCTCATATTCATTAATTATTGATTTTTATTTTTATTTTTTTTATTGTTTTTGATGTTACTCTGAGTGTATATCCACACTGGGCAGGTAGGCCGTCACATAAGGCTAAAAATATGCCTAGAAAGTGACTTTCGTTGCACACATCAGGAGGCTAATGATTTCTTTCATAAAGTAGTAGAGGAGCATGCCAAATCAAATAATAAAAAAAGCCCCCGGTCATAAGTGTGCACCAAGAAATCGACTATATTCTGGTGATGACGTCATCTATAGTTCCGAAAGGTAAAAATGTTCGAATTTCAAAAAATGTTTAATGCCATCAGATTGAGGTGCATAATTGGACAAAAAAACTATATTACACGTTCATACCGAGATATCACGTTCCAAAGTTTTTAAAAATGCTGAGTCAGCATTTTTGTTTCTCCAGTAAAACTTATATTGACAGACTGTATGCAGGGAAAGGGCTTATTTTGCACTAGTACCTTAAATTGCGCACCACAGTATGTGAATTAAAGTGGTTATGCAAGTCAGAAAACTAAAATGCGAATAAAAAATTCAAATTGTTTACCCGTCATCTAAAGCCTTTGAAAGAAACCTAGAAGATGAAATCTGTTGCACATGTTGCCAGACTAACTAATTTCACCATGATCAGACAGTTCTTTTGGAGTAGTTCTGATATTACATGGCCAAATTTTACCAATGCACGCTGTACACAAGCAAGCCATGACTTATTATTACTCAACAGGCACATATTACTCAACAGGCAATATCACTGACTGCTATTAATTCCACTCTGTAGAATAATTTTTTTAAAGAAATTCATTTAGTAAAGTTATTCATTCAGCTACAGGCAGCCTAGGGTCCATAAGCCACTTCACAGTGGCTAGCTTTTTCTTAAGCAATATAGAAGCATGATACAGAATTTGTAGCTCATTCAATATGGACTGTGTAGGGCTGTGGTTATCATCATATCCCATGTTGTACAAAACCATTGAAGTTGTTTCACATAGGCTGGGGCGGTTTTTCGGTAAACCGAAAAAGTTCTGTCTTTTTTTGAAACCGGTTTTTCGGTTTTGCCAAAATCAAAAAAAAACGAAAAAAGCGGACAAAGCACAACGAAAAAACCGGAAAAATTACTCACAAGATGTCTTATCCTGTCCATACAAATAGTATAATTCTTGTATCACTTATTATGGTACTTAACCTCAATGGCAACACAATATTCTCTACAATTTTTAATAAGATCCTGTAGTTGTCCTTTTTCTTTGTGCCAGCTTCGCGCAATAGACCTGCATCTGAAGTCTCACACGCAACAAGGGTTATTCTTCACGGAAAATAATTTTGGAATAAATATTATTCAGGTGATTATTTTGCTATGTGATCACTGCACCATTTACTAGCAACTGTATAATGATTTCATTTAATTATAAATATACCATATAATTACAATGTAAGACATATCATGACAAACAAATCGGATTGTTTCTTGCATATTATGCATACTGAGGGCAAAACATTTGGTGATCATGATCTAGCATTTATGTCACTATTTTGGGGACCATCATTGTTAAGCTTATTTGGTGGAACAGTCTGCAACTTCACAGCCAATTAAGATTTCACTACCTCGTGCTCTCTTTTCCTCCACTTTTTGCAACTTGTTTTAATCACAAAGTCTTTTACAGCAGTTCTCACGGCAATGCCAGTCGAGTTCCCAGTGCCTCCTGAGGCCCCCATTTAATGGCCCCCATTTAATTTTTTAAGTGGGGCTTTATTTTTTCAAAATTAAGTTGAGGGTGGGAAAGAAAAATTTTTTCAAACCATATTCCTTAAAAATAGCAAATTTTTCCCTGTCTATGTCTACTATAAAGGGGGTCCGAATTTCACAATTTCACCAATTCCTGCTTTTGGGGGCCACCTGTTGTAAATTTTCTGACCCTATACAACTGAGGCTCAGGCCAATGTTTATGGTCATTTTTTGTCGGGAGGGGGGGAGTCATGGTAGCTGCCGCTTCTGGGCACCCAAACACCCTTCAAGTTCCCCACAGCAGTTTGAGCGTGAAAAATGCCTTTCTACATTGGGCTATCTATTTAATATCCACATCCCCCTCCTATCGATAAGGTCAGTAAAATTTTAACTCCCAAGAAAAAAAGATCAAAGTGCTGACAGCCTGACACAAAACCCCTCTGACATTTGTAAATTTTCCCTTACCCCTCAGAACAATAAAAAACATCAAAGTATGCCGACAGGCTTAACCCCACAGAAATGACTTTGGGGTCACCCTTCAGAGAAATTCATGCAAAGAGGACGGGGGGGGGTCTGGACATTAAAGATGCGGTACAGTCCGATCTGTGCATGTGCACAAAGGAGCCCTCTTTTTATTATACAAACAGTAAAAGCATAATTGTTGTGTCTTGATAATTTATTATACTCTAGAATCATGAAAATATAAATAGTTGTCGAATGAAATTCAATGTTTTGGATACCAACATGTAAACAAAGCCTTTGTTTACATACAGACTGTACCGCACTTTAAACTTAATGTACACCCGGCCCCTATGGACGAGTTCGATAAAATTTGAACCCATATAAGGCCCTATAAAGAAGAAAAGATCAAAGTGCCGACACAAACACCCCCCAGAAATTAAGAAATTTTTGCCTTACCCCTCAGGAAAAACGCAAAGATCAAAGTATGCCGATGCACACAACCCCTCAGCAACAGCTTTTTCAACCCCCCTCAGAAACTCTCGTCTATAGGGGGGGGGGGGGTTATAATTAAGTGGTGGCCCCATCTTCGCTAGTAAACAAGTCCGAATTGTGACAGATTTCTGGTCTTTGAGCTTCGCCAATTTCTCACGACAAGAAAATCTCTTCAGACGCTTGTTTGTGACCTTTAGAAGTGATTGTGAAACATCCTCAAAATGAATACAACATTTATTCAATTTTAAATGTTTGAGTGACCAACTTGTTTTAGCCGCCATATTGCTTTTATCCGCGCGTGGCAGCTATGTTGCCATGGAAACACGCGCGATTTCAAGATGGCGTAAACGAAACATTGATCGAATATTATCAAAGTTTCAAGTCTATTTTCTACCTATTGTGCACACTAGTGAACGGGGGCTTTGTATTTCATGAATAAGGAGACTCATATGCATTGTGTTATGGCGGAATTTTTTAGCCTCGCGACATGTGCAACGAACTTGAAAGATATAGCAGATATGTGACGGCCTAATTCCATGATTTCCATCCACTTGTCATTATCCTGAAGAACTTCAAGGCTAAATTTTTGACAATTTGAACACGGTAGAAGCTCGAATATGTCTTTTAAAATTTCCATATTGACTAAACGAAAGCCAGACACTGTCCTTTATGGATTCGGTCGAAATACTAGCAGAAATCTTTCGAGCGGCCGAAGCAGAAGTATTTGCTTCGCTCGTCTCACCTTGATCAGAAATTCTAAGCTTCTTAGCCATATTTTGAAACTGATTGCCAGATAATTTACGCTTTTTCGCATACCCAGATGATTTCTTATTCCCCATCGTTACATAATGAGAATAACTTCGATAAAAGAACAACTTTGTCTTTAGTTGCTTTGTAGACCATGTAGTTGTGAATTTCAAATGTGTTGATCACTCAAAACTTTGAGTCAAAAGCACTGATAGTCTGATAGCAGTTTGCTCGCAAATAACTTGTGGTTTACATGGCCTATACTTCATGTACGCAAGCCAATGCGATGCAAATATAACACTATGGTAATGTCTAAAAGGGATGGACGAGAGGTAGTTTACGAGGTGGTTCCAAAATTGAAATAAGAGTTTGCGTTAGTATTAGGGTTAGTGTGGGGGTTAGGATTAGGTGTGGTGTGAGGGTAAGGTTTAGTATTGTTGCAAGTGGCTGGTTGTTGATTCTTTTACGTTTTAATGATCTTGAAAACTGGCGGCCATCTTGAAAACCTGCCTCTAGTCCATCCACTTTAGCCACGACCATAACGGTATATTAGCAATACAATCAGATTTCATTCAGGACAACGACGCGTTGCTAAGGCGTTGCCAAGGAGAAAAATCTTACATATCCTCACGAAATCGCTAAAATGTTGTACTTCTACTTAAAGTTAGGGGGTGAACAATACATCAAACGAAAGCTCATGAATTGGGGAATGCAATATTTCTTTATTCCTAAAAATCAGCAAAAACTATACGAACCTCTTCAAACATGCCAATATCACTGTAAATTTGCGGTAGGTATAACAATATGGCCACCAGTTACTTCATTTATGCATACCAGATGCTCTATCCAGTCGTAATTTTGAGCTCAGTGGCATGTATATGTGCTACGGAAATTTGAAGCCGAACTTGAAGGCCAGTTCCAATCTTTTCACACATGCGAAGAGCGCGGTCAGTCAACACAAGTACAACTGATGTATTCTTGAAAACCGGCTTAAAATTTGCGCAAAAAAGCTTTGAACAGCGCTCAAAGAGTTCAGGTAAAATTTCCTAGTAGGGCCACATAAAAATATAATTTATATATCAATAAATAAAAGTGTCACAAACTGAAATAAACATATTTCTCCACGAACAATGATTGGACCCTTGAACTGAATGCGAAGTTCCGTTAAAATGCAATGAAATTTCTTTCAAGGTTCTATTTGTTTGAAATTGGCAGTTTAAAATGGCACTAAAAACCCAATATAAAATATAAAAAACTTAACTTTCTTGAAATATTTTGTCGGGCGGTACATTTATATTGTATAACAAAATATTAAAAAATTTCACGCGGCTCTTAAAATACTGTTGGGCGGTAATGAGAATCAAGGAATTTATTTTATGTGGCCTAGACTTCACAGTTAAATATTTTCCTTATTTTTTCCCAATAATAAGAGCACACTAGCTCCCTAAACTGGTCTCGTGAGAAAACCGCCAGGCATAATCACGCGGGTCTTGACCCCCTTCAAGAAAAAGATAGGCGGTTTATCTGAAGGTAGCGTTCCAGTTGTATTCATTTCACTGGCCCATAGTCATTCTAATGACTTTGTTAGACAAGCCGGCGAACTTCAAATATGTTATTGAAGAAACAAACGTGGAAGTTGAAAGGGATTTGAACCTGCACAAACTTCTTTTTAAAACTAGTTGGAAATGGCTGAACGATCGAACATCCTTTCTTTATTGCACTATGGTTATAAAATGTCACAATTCTGCACCAGCAGTCAAAACAAACACTTCATGCCAGTGTACGTGTTAACCACTTTAGTAGATGCATGTAAAATAATATCAAGTTGCTATTAACAGCACAAAATAATCCTCAACCAAATTCTCAACACGAAGTTTCCTAACTACGTACGTAGTGCCTCGTATGATGTGCCTCGTTTTACTGACAAACGTAAAATCTCTGCGCTTGTCAACAAGATGTGTTCGCACAGCTTGTTTCCAGTTGTTGGCATGTATGGAACAAGTTGTTATCATCTTGTGACAAGATGATGAGGCCAACAGACTCGCAACAAGTTGTTCCAACAAGTCTGATGTTGGGTGCACGTATCAAGTTGTTAACAAGTTGATGACAATAAGCTTGTAGCAACGTGGTACGAAGGCTGTATTAGTAGTATTGGAACAACTTGTAGAACGTCTGTTTCCGTGATCAACCTTGTAACTTGTTCCAGACTTGTCACAACAATTGGGAACAAGGAGTGTGAACACATCCTGATATCGGCCTGACAACAACCTTGCTATAACTTTGCAGATTGTAATTACTTGCGCGTTTTAAAAATGGGTATAAATCTTTTCATTTCACTTCAGGCAAACCGTACGGCTTATATGAAATATATTTGGGTGAACATGTCAGTGTTTTACAAGGTTGCGGGCTCGGAGGCGGATCTCTTATCAATGCTAATGTTGGTCTCGACGCTGAGCCTGCGGTGTACCACAAACCAGATTGGCCAGAGGCTTTCATGAGTGACGTGGAAAACATGTTGAAAACGGACCGGAAACACGTGACTGACATGCTCAAACCTACGCCATACCCAGACTCTTATCCCGCATTGGATAAAATTGAACGAATGCAAGAGGGGTTTGCTGCCTTTGATATAGAGGACTTGGATAAGCATTTTTATAAGACTCCAATTTATGTGACCTTTGAGGATAAGGAAAGAAATCATGTTGGCGTGCCACAGCCGAAGTGTACAGCGTGTGGAAATTGCTGTGGTGGTTGTAATGTCGGAGCGAAGAATACGTTGAATATGAATTATATTGCTGAAGCCAAGGTGTACGGGGCAGAGATTTATACCAAGGTACAGTACACTGTGCTTATAATATATAATATGCATGGAAAAATTACTCAAATCTGATATTGGCTAAGAGCAGTGCAATATTTTATTGTAATACGATGCCAAACAATTAAAATAACCTTCCGGAAAGCATGTGACTTTGGCTATCATAGAGCCTCGGTATCGTGTATGTGACACAAGGTAAATTCCAACATCTCAATCACGAGAACGATGCCCCATAGCCCAGGTGACGTACTTTTCTGAAAGTGTGTAGTATATAAATATAATAATAATAAATACATTATTAAGAATATCATTCAAATTAAATGAGTGAGTGCAGAATTGTGTGTAAGTGACTATCAATCTGCTTCTGCATAAGATTTTTCATGTATAATATTATTAATAAGTAATATTACTTTTTCGTGCAAATTGGAAAATATTAACTCGAGAAATAATGAAACTATTTTCATATTTTTACTGCTAAAAATGGCAAGAAAGTATTGTTTGATAAATTTTAAAGGGCATGATCAACCACAATGCAATACGCGCTTTTGTTTACGTTTTTCAGTTACTTTCCTCAACCCTTTCTCTGGCCCACAACGTAACAGAAAAGTAAACAAACGTACGCATTGCATTGTGGTTGATCATGTCTCTTTAAATGGGATTTAACTCGTATTTTGCTATTTATAGACCACAATCGAAGATACGAGTTCAAATCCAGCTCGATATAATTTATGTTTTAACCCAGGAATTTTCAAAAAAATTTCATTTTCTTGCCAACCCCGGAATTTTCAAAAAAATTTTTAAGGGACAACATGTCCCTTACAGTATCCAAATTTTAAAAAGACCCTGAGGATATTATATTGTAATACAATGATTTTTGTTGATATCAATTTATTTTCAATAGATTGAAGTGATGTCGATTGCGCGAGAATCCAATTCAAACGAGTGGCTAGTTCATTACAAACATCTTGTGAAAGGCTGGTTCGAAGTTGCAGAACAAACAATTCGCGCAGGTCATGTTATCTTGGGAGCAGGGGCCTTAGGATCCACCAAAATCCTCCTTCGCTCAAAAGAACGTGGCTTGAATATTTCCCGTACGATTGGGACAAGATTCTCAACGAACGGAGACATGCCCGCATTCAGCTACGATGGGACGAGGGAGACGAATTCTATTGGTGTTAAAACGAAGGATTTGATCGGTCCTGATAAGAAGGTCGCTCCAGGCCCCTGTATCACGACCGTGATGGATTTGAGAAGGCAAGGTGGGAAACTGGTGGACAATTTTGTTATTGAAGATGGAACTCCGCCTTCTTCCGTAGGGCTAGTATATAGCATTGGGCTTACTGTTGCTGCTAAGGTGATTATTTTAATGTAACCAGCTGCTGTTTTCTTCCTTTTTTAACCAACAGGGTTTTGTTAGATATTGACCTACCCAATGGGCCCGAATACAGACAACCCCGTTAATACAGACAACCCCGTTAATACACACAACCCCACAAAACGCTATACTACTCTAAATTGCAGATAGCGAGAGTGCTGCCACCGGTGCGTATAAGTACGCGAATTATCAGACGTCGACTAACGGCAAACGTTGTCGCTCATTATTGTTGAGGAACATTTAATCTCATCAATATCCAAGAGTTTCATAGCCTCCTCCGCTCCCTCGGGTGGAATGCCTGCGGAGGAGGCAAAGAGTTTCAAACGTTCCCTGGCTAAAAATCTTTACTTGGACGAGATTTCGACTGCCAGCCTGCAGTCGTCGACGCAAATTTTTTTTCCGTAGACAGTCGGACTCTTCATTGATAGTCGGACGCATCATTGATCCGCGTCCAGGCCTCCGCGCGTTATCAATGGATCCCTTCGTAACCCACTGGTGCACCATATATCCATCACTCCACGTTGTTCTTTTTCGACCACGTGTCAGATGAACGATTTACTTCGCGATGCCATAATAAATCTACAAACTTGTTTTTCTGGTTCCGAAAATACTCAAGAACGGTTATTGCGAGTTAAAACTATATATCATCCCTATTGAAGAGAATCAGGATAAGATAACTAGCGTGCAATTAAAGGAAATAGTGGAAGAATCAAAGCGACAATCAATACCACTTTCCACAAATAGTGAAATAGACGTATTGCAGAATATCCTGTGCACGGAATACATATCATGTAGCCCGCCCACTATTTCACTGGAAGCGTATATACCATGATCTTATTGCCTCGTTCTAATATACAAGTTGAAACTATTAATTACCAAGACAATATTACGAATTGATACTATAAGGGAAATATCATGGAAAACTTTTAATGTTTAATATTATGCTTAGTATGTTTTATAATATAAAATATTTTCTCCCAGCCACGCTAATTAATCATAATCTGTCAAACACCAATGTCCGGTTGTGAGGAACATATTTGCATATTACACCACATTTTAAGCTCTCTATAGCATGAGAATTTAATATATTAATGCCAACTAACTGTCGCCTTAATCTCAAAATAACTACTTGACTGTGTATCCACGCATTGGCGTATCCACTAAAATATAGAGCTATCTATAGCATGAGAATTTGCTCGTTCTCAAAATAACTACTTGACTGCGTATCCGCGTATCCACTAGAATAGAGAGCTACATTTAACACGGACAATTTAATTTATTAATGCTAAGTCACTATATATATGCCCCGTAGCTAGCTTTACCGGACCACCGTCTATTTATTATTAATCTATTGAGAATAAATGTAGATCAGTATTAATACATCGTATCCATGATGTTTGAAAGGCATAGCTTAAAAAGTGGATGGGTATTCTGCAATGCCAATCGCTCCTGTCAGATGTCATCATCACACAAGGTATGAAGCCACAGATTTTGACATCTCAACCAAGCAATACTGATTTTGAAATCACCAATTGCGTGCGACGAGTATCCGCTGAATATTTTGTTTTAAGGGCGCGGGTCAATGATGCGTCCGACTATCAATGAGGAGTCCGACTGTCTACGGAAAACAAATTTGCGTCGTCGACGGGTAGATTAAAGTGAATGATACGAAGACTGAAGCTGGCAGTCGAAAGCTCGTCCAAATTAATAAACATTTTTAGCCAGTGAACGCTTGAAACTCTTAATATTAATCCTGGTTTCGCATCTAACATCTTTAAATCATCAATATCTTTTATGCATGTTCTAAAATCTTATCTTTTCTTTATTTAATTTTTTAGAAAGGATTAGATATCACCCACAAAGCTATGAAGAAATCTCTAGCGTTTCTCTGTATGAGTCATGATGATGCCAGCGGTAAAATCACCTACCATACCAAGACAGATGATATCAGTGTGAGTTATAAAGACGTAGGTTATGAACCTAACTTCAAGATCGTCAACGAAGCTACAAGAAAAGTTACAGAAAAACTTGGAGGAACTTTTGTGAACCCGTTATGGAGCGAACATCTTGGCAAGAGTGTTATTACAGTTCATCCATTGGGCGGGTGCCCTATGGCCGAATCTGGTAAAACTGGTGTGGTCAATCACGCTGGACAAATTTTTGAAGGTAAAGATTGTAGTTGTGACTGGTGTGTTTCCATTTAGCGATCCTCGTTGTTGCTGCCCATCGCAAATACTACAGGTTGCTGTAGCAGTGATTGTTGTAATTTTTTATGGCTAAATTGCAGAATACCCGTCCACTAGTCATCTTTCACTACGTAGCCACTGGCTACGGCTACGCAGTTACGCTCTATTTATTTTTTATTTTTTTTTTTTATTTAAAATGCTTTGCCATTACAAACAATACGAATTTACGATACTGACAATACATACACTAATACATGGCTGGGTTATCATCACAGCTCCGTAGGATAATATCCACGGGAGCCTCTATATACAATATCAAGGAAATACGTCATTATATCAATGTCTCGTTCTTTTAAAAATTCACTGCGTAGCCGCGTATAGCTACGTAGCCACTAAAAAATATACCTTCCTCACAATTACGTCATTATTTACTCACTGTGGAGCCACGAAGCCACTAAAAAATATACCTTCCTTACAATTTTACGTCATTATATCAATGTCTCGTTCTTTTAAAAACTCACTGCGTAGCCGCGTAGCCACGTAGCCAGTTAAAATATACCTTCCTTACAATTACGGCATTGTATCAATGTCTTGTTCTTTTCTCACTGCGTAACCAGTGAAAAATATGGCTACCTTATAATTACGCAATTATTAGAACGACTCGTTCTAACCATGGTTGTTGTAAGACCCGGTTAGGATTAGGAACAAAATTACGCTATGTTTAATCATGGAGGTTGAACAGTCTGTTTGACCCTGCACATATTGGTTCAGTTAATCAATGAGAATTGACCAAACGATGTAACACAAACATTTTCCATCGAAAAATGGTAGTAATACTTCTTTAAGTTATTGGCAAAATATACCGTAAGATATAGCTCTGGTAGGCAAAACAAACGGTTGGTACCCATTCCTTACGCCAAGCTGTCTGAACTGACTATTGTTAAAACAATAGAAAGACAAAGGATTTTTCAATCGTGACCCTGCACAAGGTACACAATCACCTAAAACAAAGGGTTTCCAAACCATGTCATATATATTAACTATGTTCTAACTTAAACTCACTGCGTAGCCACCTAGCCACCAATATTTCTAGCGGGTCTTCAAAAGTGGACGGGTATTCTGCAATCTCTCCGTTGTTGTTGTTGTTGTTGTTGTTGTTGTTGTTGTTGTTGTTGTTGTTGTTGTTGTTGTTGTTGTTGTTGTTGTTGTTGTTGTTGCTGTTACTGTTGCTGTTGCTGTTGCTGTTGCTGTTGCTGTTGCTGTTGCTGTTGCTGTTGCTGTTGCTGTTGCTGTTGCTGTTGCTGTTGCTGTTGCTGTTGTTGTTGTTGTTGTTGTTGTTGTTGTTGTTGTTGTTGTTGTTGTTGTTGTCCGAAGGCGAGAGTTTGTATATCCGATACAACAAGGACGCGAATGTTGTAAATGACTTAAAAAACGACTCATCTTATCAGTTCATTGGCGAAGTAATTTTAAAAATAAACGTTGTCTAAGCCGAGAAAATCAAAGTTAAAGTTTATGTAAATCAACATGAATCTGTATCACATATGCAGATACGACACGCTTATGATTTTTCTTTTGTGTTTTCTTCATG